CCCTGGCCCAGGGTAACCCGAAGTACCAAAAGCAGGTGTACAAGGGCCTGATTGCACTACTGCCTTGCACCTCACCCAAAGCACAGCAGCTCGCCCTCCAGACAGTCCGCATTGTGCAGGTACCAGAGCAGCTGCTCTGAGTCAGACTCTGGTGGGGCAGGCTGTGCGACTGGAGAGAGCGCACAGCACCTCAGCTCCAAAAAGATGCTGAAATGTATTTTGTTTTGTTCATTATACGCCGTCCGCAAAACTACATGGTGCGAAAGAAGGGCCAATGCAAACATTTCAGTCACATTTGCTATTGTCATCAGTGCTGTGTAGGAGCAGCTGCTGCCTGTATTATTGCTTCCCGTATCCTGTCTGTGTGGGCACTAAAGACAATTGTTCGGCAAACCTTTCATTTGAGTCAATCTGATTATAGGAACATTCTTTAAATATGCCCATTTATGTTCACCAGTTGATTAATTCCCTTTTCAAATTGGATAGAAATCACATAATTTAGGAGTATTGTTGTTATACTGTCATGTTAATCATGCCCTCTTTGGTCTTTTCGTTCTTTTCTTAGATTTTGTTAAAGTGGCAAAATTAAGGGGAGCAAGATTTGTGAATAGTTAGGTTGTATCATTTGATTTAAATAATTAAGAGAATGAAAAATACAAATATATTACTTTCAGGAGCACTTTGCACTCAAGCCTTTCAGTCTTCACTTGTTTCTTCTAGGAAATTGTGAAGGTAGCACATCCAAGCATTGTAGAACCTTTGTTGAATTTATTGAGATCCTTGCATCTTGAAGTCCAGTATGAGGGTAAGTATTAAGCAGTAAGATTTACCGGCAATCCTCAAAGAGAAAATAAACAGAATATTAAATTATTCTAGAATCATCCTGGTAAATCAACAACTATATGATGTTATTGTACAGTAATTTGTTACACAGAGAAAGCGAGTATAATACTTTCCAAAAAGAAATTGTGTTTTTATATTTGGAATTTATAATTCAAGTTATAAAGCTTGTCATAATGCACTTAATAAAGCTAAATACCAATACGCTTTTAAACTGATGAAAAATTATTGTTCAAAACGTGAGTATTAATGCCTCATATATCCTTTCTCTGTGAGTAGTAGTACTGTGAGTAGTGATGGAAGTTCTGTGTTTCAGCTATTGAGCTGATCCAAGATCTGGTACACTATGATGTCAGACCAGCTCTTCTGAAAGGTTTGGTTGCTTTGCTGAAACCAGCAAAAGAAGGAATCCAAACACCGAAGATCCTGAATGGTAATTTAATAAGGTCTATGTTTTGACTGTTATGAGTAAACACTAATATTAATGACTGATTTTCATCAAACAAGTTTAAAGCCTCTGATTCTTGGCACGAGCATTGTAGTTTCTATTAACATGTTGATGCACAAAGCTTATACAGTCTTCTAATTGTACATGACTACAGGAAATAAGTGCTAATGATAAGGTGGTAAAGTTGTGTTTACAACCACCAGATGTCAGTAAAACCACACATTTCTCTGAACCTCCCTCCTTGTTTATGGAATATTCTGTGTGTGGTCATACAGGGAGGCCAGCTGTAAGAGCAGGGTTCCCAGGTTGCTGTAACCACAGACTTTGGTCACCTACTGAGAGACAGCTGGTCTGACTGTACGTGCTGCCTTCCAGAAATAGACTGGTTTTCATAAAATTCCCTGCATGTGCACACCAGTTTCTGACTTGATAATCATGTTGTCTCTTTTAATTTGAAAGCTGTCTCATGTGTTTTTGACATATTTGATTCTTAATAACCCATTTTCAGGAGTATTCATTGGTAGAGTTCCTAGAAGCTACGTATATAGCTAGGCCTATCAGATCCTCTAAAACAGACTTTTTTCCCCAGTGTTAATGCAAAACACAACCATTTTTATGCCATTTATGCAAATAAAAGAGCATAATGTAATCAAGCTGCCAAACATGTCTTGTGATATTTGAAAGCATTAGATTAATTCAGTTTTATTTATTTTGCTTTGTAAGTAACACCAAAACTGTGCAATTACCAATAATATTTTTGGGTTGTTGGACTGCTGACTGTATTGTAGTCTACTTGAAGTTATAAGATGTGATAAGATGTGTGTATGAAAAAGGAAGAAGAGAAGGAAAGTAGAACCTATTCCCAGCTATGTTTTGACAGGGGTATAAAAGCACATTAGGGGATATTGTGTATCGTGAAGCGTACATGTTTTATCAATTTATTTAGTAGTATTTAATCAGTGATACTAATTTAATATAATTTAATCAGTGATACTAAACCATAAAGACTCAGGACACAAAATGAGAAAGAAACTGTTGCTCATTTTGCCAGCAGCAGAAATGACAAGTTTGCCGGAGTCCTTGCCAGTGTTTGTTCAGCAAGCTGCTGCAGCTAAAGCTATAAGGTAAGTTAAAATGTGACAAAGCGTTTTTTTTTCTAAATGGAATAATTGAACCGCCATCATCATTAATTCTGCCTATTGCACTCATAGCTCAACTTCATTAACAGGAATAAGTTACTGGTTAAGCCTTATTGTACTCTATAACTACTAATTAATGCGTAATGTATTATAGGAAGATGCTAAAAACATATCGCATTTAGATGATGTTCTAGCAAATGCTACCATTTCAGGGAAGCATGTTTGTGTGAAAGAGTGGTAGTGGTGTACACAAGCAGTGGAATAGGTGTTGTTTTTCTGCACTTGAACTCATTGTGTAATATCCGCTCTCTGAAACTGGCATGTTGCCCCGCAGGACACTGGCACAGGCCGGCCCGGCCCTGTCAGGGGAGCTGCTCGCCCTCGGAGTGGTGCCTCACCTGCTGTGTGCCGTGGGCAACCAGCGCCACGCCGACAGCCAGCGCCAGGCCAGCCTCGCCCTGGAGGTCAGCACTCGCCCTGCAAGCACATGGCTCA